GGGGAGAGAGAGTGTTAGTATTTAGAAGGGGAATCCCCTTCCATTAAGACTTGAGGTGTCGAGTCCTTTTCTGGGGTTACTTCCTTTCTTCTTTTAACCCTTTGACTGTTTCAGGCCCCTCTCTGAAACTGTCATTCTATGTCGCTCAATTTTTGAAAAAAAAAATTATTTTTTCTTATGAAATGATAGAGAATCTTTTCCCGATGGTAATGACACCAAAAGTTCGAAATTTGGTCGAAAACTCGTGGAATTATGCTCCCGCGAAGTTAGCGGTCTCGGCGACATATGCGTATCGGCGATTTCGCCGACTTTGAGCCCTATTTTCAGCCAATTCCATTGTTCCATTTGACCAAACTCATAGCTATTTCTTTAGAACTCCATTTTATCTATCAGCTGAGTACAAGAAACCTCCCATTTACTAATTTGGACTACCCAATATGGTGGTCAGAAATTGGCAATTTGGCCAATTTCACGCGAAATAAAAAAGATGTAAATTTCAAAATAGGGTCCAGAATAAACAAGGTAGACATTCATGGCACTAAAATAACATATGCTCTGTTCATTAGTCACATCTCTAGGCCCCTCTTATATTATTATTGCTTTCTATTTTGATTTTTTAGTCATACAAAAAAATACAAAATTTACTGTTATGCAGACGACTGCATTATTGTAAAAATGGTATAAATAATATCAGTGCACTAGTGAAAGAATATTAGACTCCCCAGTTGACGTGTATTGGACGTGTGGTGTGATTTATTCACTCTTGAACATTGGTAAAAATCGAACATTTCTGCTACTTTGAGCTCAGTTTCAAGGTCGTTTTCATCGTAAAAGTAATGAAAATCATCTCTATTTCTGTAATATGTTTTCCATTTTATCACTTAAGACCATGAAAACGCGAATACAACGATAAATACTATACGAAAATACACCTCAAAGTCGGCGTTTTATTAAAAAAAAACGATCAGAGTTTTTTTTTTCTCATTACGCAATGTGTGCTGCAGGATTTTTTTTATGTGGTGCACACTGACCACACAGACCCATTCTCTCACATGTGGGCCTACCAGCTTTCTCCCACTTGATTTGAAGCCGCTAGAATTATTGAGTATATATACGTCAGAAACATTGGCTCGTAAGATGTATTTATACATCGAAAACAGTCAAAGGGTTAATGCCACTAGGACCAGCTTCAGAGTCACTGGACTTCTTTCGCACAACATATCTGTCCATAGTGGCCTGTACCTCTCGTTCCTTTATGACTTCCCTAAAGTGTTTCACAACATTGTCAGTGTAATAGTCACCAGCACGGCTTGCAATAGCTGTGTGAGGGTGATTTTCATCCATGAAGGTTTGCACTTCAAGCCACTTTGCACAGATTTCCTTAATCTTTGTAGTAGGCAATTTCTTCAATTTCTCTCTCCCCTCCTTCAAACCAGTTTCCTCAGGTCTGGCCTCTTGCTGTTGAAGTTGATCTATCAGCTCATCAGTGGTTAGTTCTTCATTGTCCTCCTCCACCAACTCTTCCACATCATCCCCACTAACCTCCAACCCTAAGGACTTTCCCAATGCCACAATGGATTCCTCAACTGGCATAATCCTCTCAAGGTTAGCCTCAAACCCTTCAAAATCCCTTTTGTCTACACATTCTGGCCACAGTTTCTTCCAAGCAGAGTTCAAGGTCTTCTCAGTCACTCCCTCCCAAGCCTTACCTATAAGGTTTATACAATTAAGGATATTAAAGTGATCTCTCCAAAAGTCTCTTAGAGTCAGTTGAGTTTCTGAGGTCACTACAAAGCACCTTTCAAACAGAGCTTTTGTGTACAGTTTTTTGAAGTTTGCAATAACCTGCTTGTCCATGGGCTGCAGGAGAGGAGTGGTATTAGGAGGCAAAAAACTTCACCTTAATGAATTTCATGTCCCCATAAAGTCGCTCTGCCACGTCTGTAGGATGACCAGGGGCATTGTCTAACACCAGGAGGCACTTAAGTTCTAATTTCTTTTCAGTTAGGTAATCTTTCACATTGGGGCAAATGCATGGTGTAACCAGTCATAGAAAAAGTCCCTAGTGACCCATGCCTTACTGTTTGCCCTCCACAGCACACACAAATTCTCCTTGAGGACATTCTTTTGCCTGAACGCTCTGGGAGTTTCAGAGTGATACACTAATAAAGGCTTCACTTTGCAATCACCAGTAGCATTGGAACACATCAACAGAGTAAGCCTGTCTTTCATAGGCTTATGTCCTGGGAGTGCCTTTTCCTCCTGAGTAATGTAGGTCCTGCTTTGCATTTTCTTCCAAAACAGGCCTGTTTCATCACAATTAAACACTTGTTCAGGTTTCGGTCCTTCACTGTCTATGTACTCCTTGAATTCCTGCACATATTTTTCAGCTGCTTTGTGGTCCGAACTGGCAGCCTCACCATGCCTTATCACACTATGTATGCCACTATGCTTCTTAAATCTCTCAAACCAACCTCACATTATCACTAGTTGCAGGCATTTTTTTAATTAAATCCTCATGCAACTTCCTAGCCTTTTCGCTTATGATTGCTTGAGAAACACTATCTCCTGCTAGCTGTTTTTCGTTTATCCACACCAATAAGAGTCTCTCAACATCTTCCATCACTTGCGATCTCTGTTTCGAAAACACAGTTAAACCTTTGGCAAGAACAGCTTCCTTGATTGCCTTTCTGTTGCCCACAATAGTAGAGATGGTTGATTTGGGTTTCTTGTACAACCTGACCAGGTCGGCGACACGCACTCCACTTTCATACTTATCAATGATCTCTTTCTTCATCTCTATTGGAATTCTCACCCTTATTGCTGTAGGGTTGGAACTAGAAGCTTTCTTGGGGCCCATGGTCACTTATTTTCCAGATAAAGCACCGAAAACACTGTAATAATACGAAATATTCCGATTGTATGCTTGGATGTTACCGCGGAGGCTGGCTGGTAAACAATGCCACCGGCGGAACATATGAGGCTGGCTCAGGCCGCACATTGGACGCGTCCAATGACCACCACCAATGCTGGTGGTGGTCAAGTCCTGGTGGTGGTTACTGCTGGCTGCACACAAACTGATGTACAAACCACAGCCCAACTGGTTAGGTACTGACTTTAGGTGCCTGTCCAATGTCTTCTTAAAGACAGCTGAGGGTCTGTTGGTAAACCCCCTTATATATGCTGGGAGGTAGTTGAACAGTCTTGGGCCCTGGATGCATATTGTGCTGTCTCTGTGTACTTGTGGCACCCCTGCTTTTCACTGGGGGAATGTTGCATATCCTGCCCTGTCTTTTGCTTTCTTTGGGAGTGATTTTTGTGTGCAAGTTTGGTACTAATTCCTCTTGGATTTTCCATGTGTATATTATCATGTATCTCTCTCGCCTGCATTCCCGGGAATACAAATCAAGCTACTTCAACCATTCCCAGTAATTTAGGTGCCTTATCATATGTATGTGTGCCATGAAAGTTCTTTGTACATGCTCCAGGTCAGCAATTTTGCCTGCCTTGAAGGCGGCAGTTAGTGTACAGCATTATTCCAGCCTTGAGAGAACAAGCGATTTGAAGAGAATCATCATGGGCATGGTGTCCCTGGTTTTGAAGGTTCTTATTATCCATCCTATCATTTTCCTAGCAGATGCTGCAGATACATTGTTGTGGTCTTTGAAGGCGAGATCCTCTGACATTATCATTTCCAGGATTTTCACATTACTTTTTTGCTCTATTGTATGGTTAGAATTTGTTGTATACCCTGATACAGTTTTAATTTCCTCAAGTTTTCCATATCTGAGTAGTTGAAATTTCTCTTCATTGAATATCATATTGTTTTGAGTAGCCTTTTTGAAGATTTGGGTGGTGTCCACTTGGAGTCTTGCGGTGTCGTCAATGAAGGTCACTGTCGTGGCAATTCGGGTGTCATCTGCAATGGAAGACACAGAGTTATGGCTTACATCTCTGTCTATGTCAGATATGAGGATGAGGAATAGGATGGGAGCGAGTACTGTGCCTTGTGGAAGAGATATTTTCACTGTAGCTGCCTTGGACTGTACTCTGTTTACTATTACTCTTTGTGTTCTATTTGTCAGGAAGTTATAGATCCATCTGCCAACTTTTCCTGTTATTCCTTTATCATGTATTTTGTGCACTATTACACCGTGGTCACATTTCTCGAAGGCTTTTGCAGAGTCTGTGTATACTACATCTGCATTTTATTTATCCTCTACAGCATCCAGGATCTTGTCATACTGGTCCAGTAGCTGGCACAGGCAGAAGCGACCTGCTCTAAACTTGTGTTGCCCTGGGTTGTGTAACTGATGGGTATCTAGGTGGTTGGTGATCTTGCTTCTTAGAACCCTTTCGAAGATTTTTATGATGATGTTAGTGCTGTTGGTCTGTAGTTCTTTGCATTGCTTTACTGCCACATTTGTAGAGTGCCAGTTGTTTTTAGTGAGTGTGGGATGACCCTTGTGTCCATGTTCCTTCTCCATAGAATGCAGAAGGCACATGACAGGGGCTTCTTGCAGGTAATGAGGATTCTAGCATATTAACATAATGTGGACACATTCAGTGTTTTAATTGTTTTGAAGATTACAGATATTAACCCTTAAACTGTCCAAACATAGATCTATGTTCACTTGCCCATCACTCCCTTAACTGTCCAAACAAAATGTAGATCTACGTTCTTACCGCTAGAGCTCCGAACGTAGATATCCGTTTTATTTTTCCTGGCTTCAAATTTGGCGCAATAGGCCTGGGCAACCTAGATATGAGGGAATGGGTTTGCTGACAGCAAGTTTGTGATCAGGGCTCTCTACAGTGAAAAGGTTAAACTTTTGTTTTGCAGTGCTATTGAGAGGCTCATGTACTTCATCACTGAACAGTTTTTAATTTAATAAAACCTTACTTTCATCACAAGGTTCTAACTTAATGTAAGCAACATTATGAACTTCTTATCTAAAACATTGCTCTTGCATAAACCTGACTGACATCTTTATTTTCAGGCTAAAGGCAAGAAACGTCAGATAGGTTGGTTCCCGGCAACCTACGTGAAGGTGTTGGGAGGATCATCTCGGTCTACTCCAGTCTCCATGGAGTTGACTAATAGAGAAGATGCTCCTCCAGATGACATCCAGACACCACCTACCTCCACCACCACTGTCACCACCACCAACACTTCACTAACACAAGTCACCATCTCTCCACCTACTGATGAACCAATGAAGGGTCCCAATGATGCATCCAATGGTAACTTTTGTGCTGTTTATTTCCTTGAAAAGAGAAGAATGTTATTAACATTTAACAGTCCAAATGGGTTTAGTGTTTTTTAATATAATAATAGGTTTGTATTAGTGTATTATACCTTCTCCACTGAATTTTTCCACTAGAAGTTTGCCTCATCAGTAGTCAGTTTCATGGTTCAAATATCGTTGTGCAGACTGTAGTTGAAGCTGATGAAATTCTCTCAGTTAACATAAATTGTTCATCCTGGGAACACAAACCTGTGAAGTGTTTTACCCTGACATCATTGTTCATCTTTCCTTTTTGTCTTATAAACACAAGTACGTACAGTGGAACCTCGGTTGTCGAACTTAATTCATTCCAGATGTCAATTGTACAAGCAAAATGGATGACATCCAAAGCAGCTTTTTTCTCATAAAGAATAATGTAAATAAAATTAATCCGTTCCAGACCCCAAATGACAATAAAATACAGTAGTACCTTGGTACTCGAACTTAATTCATTCCAGAGGGCTGTTCAAGTGCCGATCTGTTAGAATACCAAACAAATTTTTCCCATAAGGAATAATGTAAATTAGATTAATCCATTTCAGACCCCCAAAAATATGCTTACTAAAGCATTTAAACATGAAGTTTACAAGCCTAGCATGCATAAATCTAAAAAAAGGAAAAACTAAACACAATGCTGCAGGGTTTGTTTTATGTGGTGCACACTTACCACATTGATGTGTTCTCTCATATTTAGGCCCAAATTTACTGCTCACAGGTTATCCGAGTGAGCTGAGCTCATGGCTTAGATCTGCAGTTTGGACCCAGGCTTCAAAGCCGTAGATCTTTGGGATGGACCCTGAAAGGGTTATATTCACTATCTAACATTGTTACAAAGTGGGAAGAGCTATAGGAGAGAGAGGGAGGGACCAGCAGAAGGAGCATTCAGTATCTGATGAGCCATCTTGATAGCCAGATACTAGCAGTGACGCGAATAAAATATTGTATAATTCCATTAATATTAGTAATAAAGGTTATCTATCACATTCCAACCTGATATCAGAAACATTATGGATAACCTATAAGCACAATAAAGATGCCAGAACTTTTAATAAAAGGCATATTATATGGAGAGGTGGAGGCGAGCCAGCCGCCGCTTTGGAATATGATCATAGGATACAAACGTTCTCTTATTCGTACCCTGGTCTGCAACACCAGAGAAAATGGTGTTTACTTCAGGGTAAAATACACAGATCATGTTTAGCATAAGGAAAAGCTCAAAAATAGTGTGATTTTTGCTGAATGTCCCCCCCCCCCCCCTGAGTCCATTTTATTACACCTCGTTCACCATGTCTAGCGCTAAGAAACTCCTCATTCCTCGGCTAATTGGGGCTCTTTTGTTCCCAAGTGACAGTTCAGACACACATGGAAGTGTCAGTAAAGATGAATTTCATGGTTTTGAGGAGTTTGTGACCAAAAGCAATGCCCAGGAAACCAGAAGGAAGGAAGAAGGAAGGAAGGTAGGAAGAAAGGAAGGTAGGAAGAAAGGAAGGAAGGAGACCATCAACCTAGGATAACCCAAAAAATTCAGACAGTGACTTATTTCCATGTTTGTTGGTGGGGTGGGGAGGAAGGGATGGATGTTGACAGGCAGTGAGGGTGGTGAGTGATAGTGTGGTTTGTTGTTGTGACACTAATTGTGCCAGTGACTCAGCATGTTTACAAGTCCACCCCCACATGACAACTTTGAGCTTTACAGAAGCTGTAGCAGTTCTGGGAAGTGTCTATTGACTTTACATGTGTGTATATGTGATAGAAAAATAGTAATAAACAACATTTTTTATTGTTGGTTTGTGTAAACATGTTTTGTAAACAGTATAATGACAGCTGTTATTGTGTAGTGTACAATGTGGGAATATGTACCATACAGTCTTTATATTGGTCTCAGAGGCCATATGCAGGCAGCATATAATGTCAGTGGCCCTATATACCTCCAACAACATTTGATGATTTTGTTTCGGGTTCGTCCTTTTTCTATCACTTAATCGTTTAAGTTACTTGCTACACTGTTAATGCTACACTTTATCGCTGGCTGGCACTGTAGCCTTTATTGACTCCTGCTGCTTTAGTATCATACATATCATAGAATCACTGAATCACTGAAGAAGGCACATTCTTCCCTCTCTTCCAGCCCTTTACCAAAGGGCTGGCACTAGGAACCTTCTTTGGGCCCACGGTGGCTTCTTTCGCAGTCACAATCAATGAACAAGCACAAAAATTGCGAAATGTTTCAGATGAATGCTCACTCAACCAGAGCTAGACTGAAGTGGCGTTCCGGTGGGTGGACGCATCTGATACATGTGATTCCTGGGACAAGGTCTGAAATTCGAAGCAAAATTTTGCACAAAAAATTGTCTGAAATCCAAAAAGTCTGATATCCGGTGCGTGCGAAATCCGGGATTCCACTGTAGTTGAATAACAAGTTACAGTTTTCCCCCACCCCGAAAGGACTTGTGAAGGCTTACTCAGCCCTGCAACAACTTCAGACAGTATTACTCAGGCTGGCTCCTCCTCAGGAAAATTAATGAATAGAAAAAGAAATAATAATTCACAAAGATAAACACTTTATTAATGCAAAAATAAAACAGTGAAACATGAAGGTATATCCTATTTGAAAGAAAAATGAAAAATGAAATGAAAAAATGACGTTTGAATTCAACGCTAATATGTACAGTTATAATGGGGTGTCTGGTGGAGGTTGACACCGTCTTGTAGAAATCGTAGCCGTTGCTGATGATGTGGGGGGGGGGGTCACAGGTGTTGGTGACAACCCAATGGCTAGTTCTTCACAGAGTCTATAGCCTTGAATAGTCAGTCCAGATGACAGGAAAGCAGATTCTTTACCACTACCAAGATGAGGGGTTATGGTCTGCTGTCGCCTAAAGTTAATCAGGTAGGTAGATCCAACATGTGACGTCTCCGGACTTTTGCAAAAGTCCTCTTCCTTCAACACTTCTCGTTGGTTGGCAGGTGACCTGATCTGTCATTCCAAGCTGGAAAGAGAGACAGGTTACCCACTGCTTAAGAAATCACTCTCCATGATAAGTACAATACCTAAAAGACGTGGTGATTATCAAAACATCTAACATGGAGATCAAGGCTGAAAGGACTAAGTTTATTATTGGTCAAAAGTGAACCTTTCAACCAATACGTCCACTAGAATTGGAGCATACTTGTACTTACAGTTGTGCTGGGAGCTGTGAGTCGAGTGATTACTGTTTGCCCGGAGCCCCACACGTCACCTTTCGGGGTGGGGGAAAAAGGGGGGGGGGATAGCGGGAGCTAGACTTACCCTGCCTTAACAAGCAGCCGGCAATAAAACTATCATTACCATATACTCGCTCGCTACTCCTATCTGTTGAACTTTTCCCTCACACTCCCCCATACCAAGTCAAGGAGTATAAGAAGAATAGGCGAGGAAAAAGTTCTAACACGTGGAAGTCGCATAAGACAACAAATCTTCTACTGACTGTCACAACTTAACCAGTCAGAGAAGTAATTGGATGAACCATTGATATACACAATATGGAACTTAAAAGATTGGAGAGCCAATGTCCACCTCAAGAGGCGACTGTTGGTTCCCTTAAAAGTTTCTAGGTGTATCAGAGGTTTTTGATCCGTCTCTAAAATGAATTCTTTTCCCAGTAAATAAAATTTAAGCTTGGAGATACCCCACACAAGGGCCAAACATTCCCTTTCTATGGTGGAGTATCTCGTTTCTGCAGGAAGGAGTTTCCGGCTTAGGAAGCACACAGGGAAGGGAGTACCATCATGGTATTGTAGTAACACCGCACCTAAGCCAGTATTGGAGGCATCAGTTCTTAAACAAAATGTTTTATTAACCCTTTGACTGTCGCGGTCGTATATGTACGTCATAGGAGATACCGTGTTTGATGTATCTATACGCATAAATTCTAGCGGCTTCAAATCAAGCAGGAGAAAGCTGGTAGGCCCACATGTGAGAGAATGGGTCTCCATGGTCAGTGTGCACCATATAAAAAAAATCGGGGAGCCAGTGGTGCATTGTGGGAATACCATTTCAGTCGTCCTTTTTCAGCATGTCTAGCGGTAAGAAATATGTGACTTCCCTGCAAATCTGGGACTCTTCTCTTCCCAAGTGATGCTCTAACACAGATGGAAGTGTCAATGAAGATCAATTTCATGATTTCCAGGAGTTTGAGACCAAAAGCAATGGAGGAGGTGGAGGAGGAGGAGGAGGAGGAAGAGGAGGAGGAAGAAGAGGAGGAAGAGGAGTAGGAAGGAAGGAGGAGGAGGAAGGAAGGAGGAAGAGGAAGGGAGGAGGAGGAAGGAGGGAGGAGGAGGAAGGAGGGAGGAGAAAGGAGGGAGGAGGAAGAAGGAGGGAGGAGGTGGGGGGAGGAGGAGGAAGGAGGGAGGGAGGGAGGAGGAGGAAGAAAGGAGGAGGGAGGAGGAGGAAGAAGGGAGGGAGGAGGAGGAAGAAGAAGAAGAAGAAGAAGAATAAGAATAATAATAATACCTAATACCTAATAATAATAATAATATGTAATAATATGTTCCCTTGAGGCATGAAAACAGTTCACCCCATGACAGTGACAAGATAAGGGGAGATAACATCTGATAAGAGCTGACCTTTGATGAGCGTAAGCGAGGGTGGAGGGAGGGGGGCAGCTGTCCATCTGTCAAGAGCCAGGAGGAGGAGAAGAAGGAGGAGGAAGAGGAGGAGGAGGAGAAGGAGGAGAAGGAGGAGAGGAAAGGGAGGAGAGGAGAGGGAGGAGGAGGAGGAGAAGGAGGAGGAGGAGGAGGAGAAGGAGGAGGAGGAGGAGAAGGAGGAGGAGGAGGAGAAGGAGGAGGAGGAGAAGGAGAAGGAGGAGGAGAAGGAGGAGGGGAGGAGATGATGACGACGACGACGACCAAACATTTGTCTGTCTGTCTATTTGTCTGTCTGCCAAACTCCCTGTCTATCCATCTAGCTCTGTCTCA